AGTTTGGTGTAGTGGTTAAGTGCGCGGACTCTAATCTGGGAGAACCGGGTTTGATTCCCCACTCCTTCACTTGCAGCTGCTGGATGACCTTGGGCAAGCCGTAGTTCTGACAAGAGGTGTCCTTGAAAAAGAGCAGTTTGTCTCAGAGCTCTCTCAGCCCCACCCACCTCACAGGGTGTCTGTTATGGGGAGGGGAAGGGAAAGGAGTTTGTAAACCACTCTGTGACACCTTCGGATAGTGAAGGGTGGGGTATAAATCCAAACTCTTCTTCTCACGTCAAAAAGGATGTGGGCAGCAGAAGAAGAGATTGGATTTATACCCCACCCTTCAATACCCAAAGGTGTCACAGAGCAGCTAACAAATTCCTTTCCCTTCCCCTCCCCACAACAGAAACCCTGTGCGGCAGGCGCTGACAGAAACTGCTCTTTTCCGAGAACAGCTCTGACAGAACTATGGCTTGCCCAAGGTCATCCAGCAGGTGCAAGTGGAGGAGTGGGGAATCAAACCCGGTTCTCCTAGATTAGAGTCCCGCACTTAACCACTACACCAAACTGGATGGAGCGGGTGGTGCAGAGGAGAGTGACGAGGATGAATGGGGGGGGGGGCTGGGGACCAAGGGCCCCATGGGGAAAGGCGGGGGACTTGGGGAATGTTCAGTCTGGAGAAGAGGAGGTGGAGGGGGGACAGGATTGTTCTCTTGAAGTATTTGAAGGGCTGTCTCTTAGAGGAGGGCAGGGAGCTGTTCCAGTTGGCAGCAGAGGAGAGGACTCGCAAGAATGGGTTTAAATTAAGGGCGGGAAGGGACCGGCTGGATCTTAGGAGAAACGTTTTGACAGTCGGAGTCGTGCCACAGTGGAGTCAGCTGCCTCGGGAGGTGTTGAGCTCCCCCTCCCTGGCAGTCTTTCAGCAGCATCTGGACAAACATTGGTCAGGGAGGCTCTAGGCTGTTCCTGCAGGGGGTTGGACTAGATGGCCTGTAGGACCCCTTCCTAGAGATGCAAAATTTCCGGAAATGTTGAAGCTCGGAAAAAAACGGAAATTTTTGAAAAAATTGGGAAAAAATGCTACATTTGCACTTATTTTTTCTTTTCCAGATTGAAAGTCATTCTGTTACTTAAGGAACATAAAATATGACTATGGACACTTTTACTTGGCGTGAAATTATCACAACTAGCATATTAAAGATATGGTGTATCCAAACAGTTATTACAAACAGAATACCCTCCCACGTGCAGAAACAAAACTGGAACCTTTTTCTTTTCTAGTGACAATCGCACCTCCTAAAGGAAGAAATGTGTCTTGTTCTTGCATTGGAGGGTTCAGTTTGTAACCTAGGACTTGCTTGTCTTCAGTGCACAGAAATTAGATCAATCTGATACCATATGTATTTTTTAGAAATGATTTGGAAAATATTTGAACACCTTGTATTAAAATATTTTATCCATCATGTTAAAATAAAACGTTCCATAATCTATTTTTTTCATTTTCTTTTTTCATTTTTTTTGAAAAAAACAAAAAAGGCTTCAGGGAAAAAAAACGGGGGGAAAACGTTTTCTTCCCCAAATTTTTCCGTTTTTTTTCCGGGCCTTCACATCTCTACTCCTCCGAACTCTGTGATTCTTTGATTCTACAATATTGTCTGGGCCTCAGAGAAATCTCTGGGTCTGGCTTAATCCCCCAACTAAATAACTAGGAGGTTCTGCTGCTGCTGCTGCTGCACCTCCCGGAGACGGACTGCCCTTTCTCTATTTCCGCTCCCGGCCCAAGCCAGAAAACTTGGCAGGAGTTGTGACGGGCACCGAAACACTGATTCCCTCACGCACCAAAACCAGGCAGTGAGAAGACACAAGAGTTATTCTCAGAGGGTGAGGATCATGTTAATTTGCTCATATGTTTACGCATCGTGCACCTGTCGCACGGAGTCTCGTCTCGGCGGCTGTGGTCAGAGGTTTAAGGGATTTGTGTGTAGGAGGCCTGAGTGATTATTCTTTCCGTTGGCACCGAGGCTTGCTTCTCGGACATCCTCGTCAGCCTTGGGGAAAACCTCCCCGAAGGTGCTTGTGAGCTAGCTCCAAGGGAAATGGCTTAACCAGACAATAACACCACCGGGTGGAGCCATTTTGAAACACCCTCTGTGTAGAATATGGCCCTTTCTACCCAGTTTGGGGTCTAAGTTTCTAAAACAAGATCCCCAACCTTGCTGAGCCGGTGGCCACCTTCGAAATTCTGACAGAGTGTGGTAGGTGCAGCCACAAAATGGCTGCCACAGGAGGCTAAGCCAGCCACAAAATGGCTGCCGCGGCTTACCTTCAGTCATGGACACCACACTGGAGACTCCTGTTTTGAAGGATCTGAGTGTTCAGCACAAGTATGTGTTTTTCTAATCCCCCCCTTCCAAATGCACAGCAACATCGCTAGAAACTAGGACTGTCAACCAGTCACGTTATTTTTTAAATGATTAGCACTTGCTGTTTGACTGACTATAAACACACGTGTCCAGTGCCATAACCACAACACCATCAGGGTCTTTAAGATAACAAAAGGATTGTGAGGTAACAGACAGTTTGACAAACGGTCAGAACGAAAGGTACTTTAAAGTACTTCAGAATTACAAAACTGCAGAACGATTGCTGTTGCTTTTAATGAAAGGTACTTTAAAGTACTTCAGAATTACAAAACCACAGAACAATTTCTGTTGCTTTTAATGAAAGGTGCTTTAAAGTACTTTAGAATTACAAAACCGCAGAACGATTGCTGTTGCTTTTAATGAAAGGTACTTTAAAGTACTTTAGAATTACAAAACCGTAGAACGATTTCTGTTGCTTTTAATGAAAGGTACTTTAAGGTACTTCAGAATTACAAAACCACAGAACGATTTCTGTTGCTTTTAATGAAAGGTACTTTAAAGTACTTTACAAGTACAAAACTGGAGAACGATTTCTGTTGCTTTTACTGAAAGGTACTTTAAAGTACTTCAGAATTACAAAACTGCAGCACGATTTCTGTTGCTTTTACTGAAAGGTACTTTAAAGTACTTCAGAATTACAAAACTGCAGCACGATTTCTGTTGCTTTTACTGAAAGGTACTTTAAAGTACTTCAGAATTACAAAACTGCAGCACGATTTCTGTTGCTTTTACTGAAAGGTACTTTAAAGTACTTCAGAATTACAAAACTGCAGCACGATTTCTGTTGCTTTTACTGAAAGGTACTTTAAAGTACTTCAGAATTACAAAACTGCAGCACGATTTCTGTTGCTTTTACTGAAAGGTACTTTAAAGTACTTCAGAATTACAAAACTGCAGCACGATTTCTGTTGCTTTTACTGAAAGGTACTTTAAAGTACTTCAGAATTACAAAACTGCAGCACGATTTCTGTTGCTTTTACTGAAAGGTACTTTAAAGTACTTCAGAATTACAAAACCGCTTTATATATTCATTTGTTGTTTGTTGTATTGCTTTTATCGCATTCAGTACGGCTGTACATCGCGTTACAGCAGAGGTCCCCAACGTGGTGCCTGCCGACAGCTCTCCTGGTGTTTTCAGAAAGTGGGTGGGGCCAGAGGGGGCTTTTGCCCATCAAGGCTTCTGAATCTCCGCTGGAGATTTGATCGGCTGTGTTGATTTTTAAAAACGTTGCACAACCCAAAGATCTGCACTGTGGGACTGAAGGTAAGCCGCGGCAGCCATTTTGTGGTTGGCTCCGCCTCCCACAGCAGCCATTTGGGGGCTGAGCCCACCAGGCTGTGTCAGAATTCCAAACGCTGTGTCAGAAATGGCAGGGGGGACCCCTGCATTAGACCAAAAAACTTACAAATGCCTTCTCCCATGCTGCTGGGCTCAGCAGTGCTCTTGGGCTTGTCTCCATTGCTGGGGAGGAGGAGGCGGCGGAGAAGGAGGAGGAGGAGATTGTATTTATACCCTGCCCATCACTCAGAGCGGCTTACAATCTCCTTTCCCTCCCCACAACAGACACCCTGTGAGGCAGGAGGGGTTGTGAGTGCTCTTTCGAGGACTGCTCTCGAGAAAACAGCTCTGAGAGAACTTGTCACTGACCCAAGGTCACACCAGCAGCTGCATGTGAAGGACTGGGTAATCAAACCCGGTTCTCCCAGATTAGGATCTGCTGCTCTTCACCGCTACACCAAACAAAGCCCGTCGCGCTGAAGCAAAATGGTACAGCGCGTTCCTGATCGGCACGTGGGCCAGAGGTTGCTTACCGCTGTCCTAACCAAATGGAGAAATGAAAGAACGGAAAACTAAAAGGGTGGGAAAGGAGTCCCGGGAAGGGGGGGTGTCCCTTAGACGTACCATACATGCTGTGCTCCAGATATCGGCCGGAGTGTTGTAGACGGCGCCGATGAGAACCTCTAGAGCCCGATACTGGCGTGTCTGGATGTCCTCCGTGAAATGTTTGTGCTGAAAAAAGGGCAGGAAGAAAGTGAAACAGTCGCATCACGTGTGTAGCCACCCCAGAAGCATAGACCAGGCCGCCCCGCCCCCCTTCTCCATATATGTAAGCCCCTTGACGGGACAGCCCTCTCAAATGCCCGTCTGATCTCTCAGATGCCCAGCTCATCATGCCTGGCAACCCTAACAACATCCCTTTCCTCAAAGATGAACCAAATTTGTGGCAGGGGAGGAGCTTTCGTGAGTCACCGCTCACTTCTTCAGATGTATATAGAGCGATTCACGTTCTAGCCGTATCTGAAGAAGTGAGCGGTGACCAGTGTTCCCTCTAAGCTGAGTTAGTATGAGCTGGCTCACAGTTTCTTAGCCTCCGGCTCACACATTTTTGTCTTAGCTCAGGAAGGAGGGCTCCGGAACAAACTAATTTATGCAGCAGCCAAATCGCCTGCTCACAACTTTAATGTCAGTAGCTCACAAAGTAGAATTTTTGCTCACAGGACTCTTTAAGCTTAGAGGGAACATTGGCGGTGACTCACGAAAGCTCCTCCCCTGCCACAAACTTTATTAGTCTTTTTTCTTAAAGGTTTTTTTAAATTTCATATATAAGGCATACAAGACAAACATACATAGATACGAATTACGGGGAATCCATGTGTATTGTTATTTAACCTAGCTATTGGCCTCACACTGCATTCACAACATTCATTTCTTTTATCCACCTTATAATTTTCATATATACCTTTTGCTTACAATTGAATCTATAGTTCTTATTTCCTTTTATTTCAGTTATAGGTCTGGAAGTTTTAAGTGTTATACTCTTCTACCCATTCATAAAATCTTGACTATGTGTTGTCAGACTTTTATGATGTCCTCAAACTTTATTAGTCGTTAGCTACCAGTGATGGCCCCAGGTTTTTTCGCCCACTAGGCGAGGATACATTCTGCCCCCCCCCCCCGGGGGGGGGGGGGGGGGGGGGGGGGGGCGCAAACCGTCCCCCCGCCTCTCTGAGCCCCGGGGTGGTGGCCTTGGAGTCCTAGGAGCAAATTGCACCTCTCACGAGAGGTCATTCTGGCTCCACCAGGTCTTGTTAGAGGCTCTTTTAAAAGTTATGGCTGTGGGCGGTGGCGGTAACGGCAACGGTCGGGGGGAGGGGCGCGAAACGTTCCCCCGCCTCTCTGAGCCCCGGGGTGGTGGCCTTGGAGTCCTTTTCTACTTACAGATAGACTAACATAACAACCCATCTTGATCTGTTCCCTTTCCTCAAGCAATGCTACCCCAATATGTTTGATAATTACATGTTTCTGTAAACAACATCTACCTTCTTCCCAAATGGCCTCATTCTGCATTCTAGGTCCAAGGAAGGGCATTAGATACAGGGTTATATATCGGTGGTCCAAGTGCTTCTCTACCATCATGAGCTATTTTTCGTTTGTTTGTTCCTGTATCTCGAGAACAGGGGTGGCCAAACTTGCTTAACGTAAGAGCCACATAGAATAAACGTCAGATGTTTGAGAGCTGCATGCCATGAACAAATATTAAGGTTTCCCTTGCTCGAAAGCTAGTCGAATCCAACTCTAGGGGGCGGTGCTCATCTCTGTTTCCAAGCCGAAGAGCCAGCGCTGTCCGAAGACGTCTCCGTGGTCATGTGGCCGGTATGACTCAACGGCGAGGCGCACGGAACGCTGTTGCCTTCCCACCAAAGCGGTACCTATTTATCTACTTGCAATTTCTTGCTTTCGACCAGCTAGGTTGGCAGGAGCTGGGAGCTCACTCCGTCACGCGGCACTCGGCTCTCAAACTGCCGAGCTACCGACCTTCTGGTCTGCAGCTCAGCGTCTTAACCTCTGAGCCACCGCGGCCCCATGAACAAATATTACACGTATGTTTTTATTGAAAAATATGCAAACTGGATTCTTATTAACATGAAATGAGACTGCCAAAAATAAAAACAAAATGGGTAAAAATAGATATCGATAATGATATTTGTATTGTCCAATAATATTTGTAGGTTGGGCGGGGCCTCTGAGAACACATTTAAAGTTAAAGTTGCTTTTTTTCTCTACTCCCCCCTGCCTCAAGCCCAGGGCTATTTTTGGGCAGGAACGCACAGGAACTGAGTTCCGGCTGGCTCCTGAGTTGGCCACGCCCAGCAGGAACTCATTAGCATAATAGGCCACACCCAATAGCAGAAACTCATTAGGATTGGCTACATTAGGGGTGTGTGGCCTAACATGCAAAGGAGTTCCTGCTACAAAAAAAGCCCTGGGTTTTGACAACAAACAAGGTAAACAGAATAAGAGGGGAAAGGTGGTTGTGGATGGATGACCACACTTCTGGTAACATGGGGGTGTGGCCTAATGTGCTAATGAGCGGTGCTGTCAGGGGTGTGGCCTAATATGCTAATGAGCTTTGCTGTTGGGTGTGGCCTATTATGCTAATGAGTTCCTGCTGGGCTTTTTCTACAAAAAGAGCCCTGCTCAAGCCTACCCAGGAAGGGGAACACTGGCTGGGGAAGGGAAGACCGATCGTGGACGGGAGGCATGACTCCGCTTCGCTTCCCCAGCTGCTCAGCCGGGAGCCGCACAATGTGTGTGAAAGAGCTGCGTGTGGCTCCCGAGCCACAGTTTGCCCACCCCTGGTCTACGACGACAGGGCCTTGTCCCAGATGGCCCAGGCTAGCTCAATCTCCCCCAGACTTTGGAAGCTAAGCAATCTCTAAGGCGCTCCTGGACTCTTACTCTTTTCTACTGCTACAGACAGACTAACCCAGCGACCCGTCTTGATCTATCTCAAAGGGAGCTCTGACTCTCAAAAGTATACCCTGGGAATTTTGTGGTTGGGTTTTTAAGGTGCTACGGCACACAAATCTCACTCTTCGGCTTCAGACCAACACGGCTACCCGCCTAAATGCAGACCTTATGCAGTTCCGCAGGGCCTGCAAGACAGAGCTCTTCCGCCAGGCATTCGAGTAGGAGCCGCCGCCTCCACTATTCCACCATCACCTCCTTCATCTCCACAATTTGACCATCTGTGGAGCGGGTATTATCTGAGATAGCTGGCCACCAAAGCTGGATGGTTATTCCCATCTTGGTTGAATGATATAGCACCGTGTTATAGGATGGTTTTTGGGGTTAAATATCGTATTTTATTGTATTTTAGATTCTGGCTTTGCCGCCTGTGAACCGCCCTGAGCCTTTGGGAGGGCGGTATAGAAATCCAACAAATAAATAAATAAATAAAATGGTCCCTTGTGACAGAAACGTCATCCTCGGTAATGCAGGCCCGTAGCTACAGTGGGGCATTTCGGGGCCTTGCCCCTCGACTTCCCGCCAAGCCCCCTCGACTTCCATCCAACCCTCACTCCCATGGCTCTCTGGGCCACCCGGAGGACTACCAACTCTGAGCCACCCAGCGGACTCCCCACCACCTCCCCTTCCCCAAGCATGGCTTGCTTCCCCGCGTAGGCAGGCAGAATGCGAACACTGCCAAAGTGAGTTTTAAATTTTTTTTATTTTCTTTTATTTTGTGACGCCGGTGCCCTGATTTATTTAAAGGCCCCTCGAATGATAAAATCCTGGCTACGGGCCTGCGGTAGCGTATCCCACTCTTGGCAATGTATGGTCTTTCCGGAGTCTTCTGCCAATCTTTCCCTGTGACCTCTGCCCTCTGCCACGCTGTCCCTGCACCTCTTGGCCGGTCCCACTTGCAACGTCCCCTTTGGGAGCTGCCCGTGGGGCAAGGAGCGTCTGCCCTGATTATCGTACTCACCACCCAACAGGCGTTGCCTAGATCTGCTATCTTCACGCTGATCTTGTCCGCATTTTGGGGGTCCAAGGGGTTCACCAGGAATTCGGAAATCCCGAAAGTGGATGCTGAAAAAGAAAAGGGGCGGAGGTGGGTGTGGGGAAGTGTTTTTTTTTTTTAAACCCAAGGATGGCCCATCTAACCACCCCCTCCGTGCTCAGCTCTTGAAGCGAGAACTCTGGAAGCCTGTGTTCAAACCACAGGAGTCCCGGACCCCTCCCCCACATTTACCTGTTGTGATGTCTTCTCTTAGCACTTACTTTCTAATGCTGCAGCGGGTTTGCCAACCTCCAGGTGGGGCCTGGAGGAACCCCAGAATTGTAACCAATCTCCAGACTACAGAGATGAGATCAATTCCCTGGGAGAAAATGGCTGCTTTGGAAGGTGTACTCCGCTGAGTTCCTTCCCCTCCCCAAACCCCACCCTGAAACCTCCAGTTATTCCCCAACGAAGGATGGACGCGAACCGGGAAAATGTGGTTCAGTTAGTGGTACGTGATGTGCCACGTTTGCGGACCACAGACTGTTTTAGCCGCCTTACGAACTGGTTCATTTTGTGAGGTTCACGAGGCAGTAGAACACCCACCTCCGGCATCCTAGAGACACCAGAGTTGCAGGGGATCTCTGGGTGCGTTTGGGAGGGCGGTATAGAAATCCAACAAATAAATAAATAAATAAAATGGTCCCTTGTGACAGAAACGTCATCCTCGGTAATGCAGGCCCGTAGCTACAGTGGGGCATTTCGGGGCCTTGCCCCTCGACTTCCCGCCAAGCCCCCTCGACTTCCATCCAACCCTCACTCCCATGGCTCTCTGGGCCACCCGGAGGACTACCAACTCTGAGCCACCCAGCGGACTCCCCACCACCTCCCCTTCCCCAAGCATGGCTTGCTTCCCCGCGTAGGCAGGCAGAATGCGAACACTGCCAAAGTGAGTTTTAAATTTTTTTTATTTTCTTTTATTTTGTGACGCCGGTGCCCTGATTTATTTAAAGGCCCCTCGAATGATAAAATCCTGGCTACGGGCCTGCGGTAGCGTATCCCACTCTTGGCAATGTATGGTCTTTCCGGAGTCTTCTGCCAATCTTTCCCTGTGACCTCTGCCCTCTGCCACGCTGTCCCTGCACCTCTTGGCCGGTCCCACTTGCAACGTCCCCTTTGGGAGCTGCCCGTGGGGCAAGGAGCGTCTGCCCTGATTATCGTACTCACCACCCAACAGGCGTTGCCTAGATCTGCTATCTTCACGCTGATCTTGTCCGCATTTTGGGGGTCCAAGGGGTTCACCAGGAATTCGGAAATCCCGAAAGTGGATGCTGAAAAAGAAAAGGGGCGGAGGTGGGTGTTGTGGGGAGGTCTTTTTTTAAAAAAAGCCCGAGGATGGCCCATCTAAGCACCCCCTCTGTGCTCAGCTCTTGGAGCGAGAACTCTGGAAGCCTGTGTTCAAATCACAGGGGTCCCCGATCCCCTCCCCCACATTTACCTGTTGTGATGTCTTCTCTTAGCACTTACTTTCTAATGCTGCAGCGGGTTTGCCAACCTCCAGGTGGGGCCTGGAGGAACCCCAGAATTGTAACCAATCTCCAGACTACAGAGATGAGATCAATTCCCTGGGAGAAAATGGCTGCTTTGGAAGGTGTACTCCGCTGAGTTCCTTCCCCTCCCCAAACCCCACCCTGAAACCTCCAGTTATTCCCCAACGAAGGATGGACGCGAACCGGGAAAATGTGGTTCAGTTAGTGGTACGTGATGTGCCACGTTTGCGGACCACAGACTGTTTTAGCCGCCTTACGAACTGGTTCATTTTGTGAGGTTCACGAGGCAGTAGAACACCCACCTCCGGCATCCTAGAGACACCAGAGTTGCAGGGGATCTCTGGGTGACTTTCCTCTACATCACCTCCAAGTTTGGTGAGGATTTGATTTACGGGGTCCGAGTTACGGTCCCCCCAAAGAAGATGCCCCCAGAAAAGTGCTTTCTGGGGAAATGGCTGCCATTCGATACACTCCGTTCTATACACTTCTGAACCTGCGCCTGTCAAAATGAACGCCTTTGCAAAAGGATCCTTACCAAGCTAAAGACATCAAAGTCGCAGGGTATCTTCCCCGAATGCTCCTCTACATGGTCTCCAAGTTCATAGAGTCATAGAATGTTAAGAGCTGGAAGGGACCTTGCAGGTCATCTAGTCTAACCCCCTGCACTCTGCAGGAGCATAGCCAAAAGACAGCCCTGCAACATACTTGAAAGATGGTTGTCCAGCCTCCACTTGAAAATGTCCAGCGAAGGAGCATCCACCACCTCCCGAGGCAGTCTGTTCCACCACTCAACCA